CCCCACCCCCCCCCCCCCCTCCCCCCTTAGGTCTGCTGGGACACAGAAGACGGTGGCGGTTCTGGGTATATCAAGCAGCATGGAGGGTGACCTTGGCATGACTCTCCCCATTCTCTCCTCCTCCCAGGTGGTGATGGACATCTATGAGTTGGAGAACCCCGAGGGGATTATCCTGTCCATGGGGGGCCAGCTACCCAACAACATAGCCATGTCCCTGCACCGCCAGCAGTGCCGCGTCCTGGGCACCTCGCCCGATTCCATCGACTCCGCCGAAAACCGCTTCAAGTTCTCCCGCCTGCTGGACACCATCGGGATCAGCCAACCGCAGTGGAAGGAGCTGTCTGATATGAAGGTATGCTGGGTCTGCTCTGCCCCCCTGAGGGATAAGGGGGGACTCTGGGTCTGCTCTGCCTCCCTGAGGGATAAGGGGGTACTCTGGGTCTGCTCTGCCTGAGGGATAAGGGAGTTCTCTGGGTCTTGCCTGCCTGAGGGATAAGGGGGGACTCTGGGTCTGCTCTGCCTGAGGGATAAGGGAGTACTCTGGGTCTGCTCTGCCTGAGGGATAAGGGGGGACTCTGGGTCTGCTCTGCCTCCCTGAGGGATAAGGGGGGACTCTGGGTCTGCTCTGCCTCCCTGAGGGATAAGGGGGGACTCTGGGTCTGCTCTGCCTCCCTGAGGGATAAGGGGGTACTCTGGGTCTGCTCTGCCTCCCTGAGGGATAAGGGGGTACTCTGGGTCTGCTCTGCCTCCCTGAGGAATAAGGGGGGACTCTGGGTCTGCCTGCCTCTGGGATAAGGGGGGACTATGGGACTGCTCTACATTCTTCTGGGATAAGGGGATGGTTCTGCTCGGCCCGCCTCTGAGATAACGGAATACTATAAAAGGGGAGTCCAGCGTGTTGTCGGTGTCATTGTTTAATCCTAAAGCAGTTTGCGACTCTCGCAATTTTGTTTCCTAGTTCTATGACATGTAGGGATTTGTAGAATTGCCCCGACCTATAGATATCCCCCGCACAGGGAGGGCGTTGTTTTCAGGGAGCCGAGACTCCTAGGCTTGTATCTTAAGGTGGGAACAGTAGAGCACGGCCATTGTGTGGTGCTGCTGCAGAGGAGGAAGCCGGTTCTGTCTATGTAATGAGCAGATATAACATCCAAAGCTCTGCATTGAATTGGGGGGGGTTCACTTTCACACACCGACATTCTTCCTATCTAGCTGGTCCTGAAAAGATTGAACGTTCTCTGAGATGAAAGCTGGATGAGGGGAGAGTAGAAGGAGGTGTGACCTTCAGAGCAGCGAGCATTATATCAGAGAAGAGTACAGGACACGATGACGATGATGATGACGATATGACACATACTGCAGGCCTGGTGTGATGGGAGGAGTTCAGAGGGTCTCTCAGGATGTGGTCCCCTCGCTGTCCCCTCTTCTCGCTGGCCGCTCTCACGTGCCTTTCTCTCCTTCTCCTCTCCAGTCCGCTCTGCAGTTCTGTAACTCGGTGGGGTTCCCCTGCGTGGTGCGCCCGTCCTACGTTCTGAGCGGGGCGGCGATGAACGTGGCCCATTTAGACGAAGATCTAGAGAAGGTTCTCAGCAATGCCGTGGCCGTGTCCAAGGAACATCCCGTGGTCATCTCCAAGTTCATCCAGGAAGCCAAGGTCAGTCCATGCTTTTCTTGGATTAAATGTCCTCCGAGCAGGAAGTGGTGGAGGATTGGAGCTCAGAAAGTCTGGTTGTCAGGGGGGAGGGGCGGGGGCGACTACCTGTCATGACCAGCTCAGTCCTGTGTTTTTATTGGGGTGTCTGCAGAATCAATCATCTGTATGTTTTGTACCGGCCCCTATTCTCTCATGTTTGGGGAAAATCTCTGTAGTGTGCTGATGCCGTGTATGCGGTTCTCCCCCCCCCCAGGAGATAGACGTGGATGCCGTGGCCTGTGACGGAGTGGTTGTGGCGATCGCCATCTGTGAGCACGTCGAGAACGCCGGAGTCCATTCTGGAGATGCCACACTGGTCACCCCTCCCCAGGACATCACCCCGAAAACCCTGGAGAGGATCAAAGCCATTGTCCATGCGGTGGGGCTGGGGCTCCAGGTGACTGGACCCTTCAACCTGCAGCTCATTGCCAAGGTAAGGGAGCAGATCCGTCTGTGAGCCATCACACGGCTTACAATCCGGTTGGCCCGTCTGCTCGTTAATGTTCCCAAGTGACCGGTCAGCAGAAGGCCTAGTCTCAGTCTTCCGGTCTGGAGTGGTCTCTCTGCTCGTTAATGTTCCCAAGTCACCCGTCCCATCAAGAAGAAGGCCTAGTCTCGAAAGGTCAGTCTTCCGGTCTGGAGTGGTCTCTCTCCTCGATGTTCCTTAGTCACCCGTCACATCAAGAAGAAGGCCTAGTCTGTCTTCCTGTCTGGAGTGGTCTCTCTGCTCGTTAATGTTCCCAAGTCACCCGTCCCATCAAGAAGAAGGCCTAGTCTCGAAAGGTCTGTCTTCCTGTCTGGAGTGGTCTCTCTGCAGCTCCGATCTGTCCTTTCCCGGTCTGGTGTAGAGGAGGTTGGTGCTTTAGTAGGGAAGCTCAAGGAGACGTGGAGACAGAAGATGGATTTCTGGGTTTATGACCTTCTATCACCAACGTGGTTTCAGTGGAAAGAATGCCCCCGTTACAGTTGCAGTCCAATTACAACCCTTACAGATAGTAAAACCATTTACCTCATGCCCCTGGTAGTGCCAAATTGTGTAGGACCCGGAAATGTGCAGCCACCATCAATCGGGTGCTCAAGGAACCCCTAGCGTCTTCTGGTGGAGAAGGAACCCCTAGCGTCTTCTGGTGGAGCCCTAGGTATCCGTGGAAGCTTGGTTGAGAAATACTTTGTACCTGCGTTGTCCTCGTTGTTTGTCACCTTGGACTCCTCCCATCTTCTCCTCCCTTTATATCTCCGCAGGATGATCAGCTGAAAGTGATCGAGTGCAACGTGCGAGTCTCCCGCTCCTTCCCCTTCGTCTCCAAGACTTTGGGGGTGGACATGGTGGCTCTGGCCACACAGGTGATCATGGGAGAGGAGGTGGAGCCAATCGGACTGATGACGGGAATGGGAATTGTGGGCGTGAAGGTAAGTACGGCCTTCTGGCCTCAATTTTGTTGTCAATCCTACAGCATGTAAAGTAGACGTTGGGACTCCCTCGAATTTGGCAAGGAAGCTCAGGTTTGGGCTGTTTTTTGCCAGCCATTGGTGACACGTCTCCATCTTCATCCCAGGTGCCTCAGTTTTCCTTCTCTCGTCTGGCTGGGGCAGATGTGGTCCTCGGGGTGGAGATGACCAGCACAGGGGAGGTAGCCTGCTTTGGGGAGAACCGCTATGAAGCTTACCTGAAGGCCATGCTGAGTACCGGCTTCAAGATTCCCCAGAACAACATCCTGCTGACCATCGGCAGCTACAAGGTGAGAGGCCAGGAGGGCGGCTTCCTCACTGAGGGGGGGTTACTGCTCAGATGGTGACGTCTCCGAATTCAGAGAGGTTCTGGTCCGGCCGGTAAGCCTCTTCCAAAGGGTGAGGGCAATTCTGGTGCTGGCTGAAGATCAGAACATCATAATTGGTCTTCTGGTTCATCATTCTGTAGGAGTCTCTTCTTCAGGGTTGGTTACCTTCCCCCATTATAATCTAAGTGATGGGAACGGCCCAAAGCCGAAATCCGTGCTGACCTCTAATCCTCTCTGTGGTGCCGCCTCCGAGCTCCTGCGGTGACATCACACACTCGGTCAGACCTCCGTATTGGCTCTGAATGGATGAGGTGACGGGGTCTCCAAGTCTTGCTGTGTGAATGACATTTACCCAGAATGCTCCTCTTCTTCTGGGGATACTTTATCTTAGAGATACATTACTTGTATTTTGTACGTCTTCCTCTCATACAGAATAAGAGCGAGCTGCTGCCCACCGTGCGGACCCTGGAGAGCCTCGGGTACAGCCTGTACGCCAGCCTTGGCACAGCCGACTTCTACACGGAACACGGAATCAAGGTGATCGCATGTCTGTGGCGTGTCGCGGTCTCGTTTTCACCGTGGTGACGCCTCCAGCGATAACTCCCGCCTCCATTTGGTGTTTTTGCAGATCAAGGCCATGGATTGGGTCTTTGAAGATCCGGACAGCGACGGTCCCATGAAGCAGAGGAGCATCATGGACCATCTGTCCGAGAACCACTTCGATCTGGTCATCAACCTGTCCATGAGGAACGCCGGCGGTCGCAGGCTTTCCTCCTTCGTCACCAGCGGCTACCGCACTCGCCGCCTGGCCGTGGACTACTCCGTTCCCCTAATCATCGACATCAAGTGCACCAAACTGTTTGTGGAGGTGAGGAGTGCGGGGGAGGAATTGAGGGGACGGTGGTTGCTTGGTCCTCTGCTGGAGGTGGATGACGCCGGCTGTAAAACAATTGTCGCTGTGCAGAAAACTTTAGTAGAGGAGTATAGGGGAGGGGGCGGAGGGAGTATAG